GGCGAGCGGGCACTACTGGCATCGGGATTGCTTCGAAGCACAGCATGCGCCAGAAGATTGTTAGTAATGTCCCCAATATGGGGTTGATGTGAGCTATTCACCGAGCTCCGCAATGGTGGCAGTGTCCCCGGGACTTGTTTACTCAGCACACCCGGTATAGCAAGCTCTCCGAAGCCGATGGCCGATCTCTCCACCCTTGAACTTCGCGAGACGGACCCTGAATCCTCCCTGATAGAAGCCGTGAAACGCCACATCTCCGAGGAGATTCTCGCTCTCCCTACCAACCCTAAGCACGCACGCCCCCTCGGCCCACACATATTATTTTGTTCACCTAGAAATAGGTCTACATACCTATATAGCATTTCTTTGTCTCTGAGATACTCCATATGAGTAGATAAGTTTGAGCATAAAATAGTAAAGGCGGGAATCAGCGGGAATCGAAGCATAACCCGGCCAAATTGCCACACGGGAAACCGTGGGCTATCGGAGCTCCCACACGTGATTAGATTGTTTTTGTCGTCTCCTGTCTTGTCCTGTGTGAGCTGGCATTCCTGCTGCTCTTCTAGTGACCTCAAGCTGCACGCTAGGGTTGGCGACCTTTGTCTCATTTGGCACGCCTATTTTCTTAAGAGGCTTAGAAGGCGAACTTTTCCTGGACACTCGAACAATTCCATTGCTCACTTCGCTTCGGCCAATCAGCCATCTCTCGTTCCATTTCCTGCTCGATCTTTTAAAAATGGTCTCTAACTGGTACTACGGCAAAATACCCTTGGTCGACTGAAGCACCCCCCATCTTTGAACTGCCATCGATCCAATGCTCTCACGGGGTGTTTCTCCTCCCTTGCTCTTCCAATCCGGTCCAGTGTTTATTTTACGAGCCAACGCTAACTGTGAAGTTCTTTTTATTACGTCAGAAACTCTCTAAGCTCAGCTGAACCTCGTTACTCTGCCAGCCCTGAACACTCTTAGTGCCTCATGCATACTTCGTTCTCGGTGCCTACTACGTATAAACGACATTTTCCCAGCGATTATGAGGCTTTTGTTTCTCGTGGATGATAATACGCTATCGCCCTATGAGCGAATTTATGTCAGACAAGCTTAAGAGAACATTTCCCTCTTATTTTCTCGCTACAGGCTCCGTTCGTTACTTATGAATCGACTGTCTCTTGGGCTATATCCAGCACTCTAGGCGCCTATACTAGTTTAGTGCTACGAGCGAAGCTATTACTCACGAACTACATCGTCTACCTCGGCCTATTTCATCTCCCACACAAGACCGTTCAAAACACTTTTTGCTAATCACTTAGGATTTCTGAATACGCTTGGCATAATTGGCGACTTCTTTTATGGACATCCTAGCACTATGCTGCTATCCGTTACCGAGGTCGGTGACCTAGCCTTGTTTCGTGCAACACGCAAAACCAAATCCACACCAAATCTGAATCATTTATGACCTCCCAGATACCCCACGGCGTGACGCTTGAGGAGCATCTAGCGTGTTAGGGTCTTTCGCTTAGTTCAGGCGCCAGGTTTTGCTGAAATATATTTAGGCTTGCTTTAAATATCATCTTTGACTAGCTTACGGTGTGGGCTTACACGGTGACTCAGGGATACCGCCACATGGCCAACACCTTGCTTCCCCATTGTTCCCACGTTGCAGTTGCGGTTGTGTTTCAGTGCGAGCGGTTTCTTTATCATTTTGTGTGGTGCCTTCATTAGTGCACGCCACAGCCTTGCGGTTGCGTTCAGTTGGGTAGGGGGCTAGAGTTTACGTTCAAACGGCAACTCGCGATGTCCTGACGCCAATGCGCGGATACAGCATGTTGTCCTCGCGGCGAAGGGGACTTGTCGCTTAAAGAACTTGGTGCTAGGTTTCTTTTAGATCAGTCTACCTTTCTCTCCGTCCTGCCCTGTCGCTCTACTCCGTCCAGTAAGTGGAAATATAAGCGATTTGTTGCGTACTTGGCTAAGCGATACTTTTCAGCTATGCCAGGCATCCGTTCCTTATTGCTTCTTAGCAGCAAACCTTCCGAACACCCGGCCGTAGCCATCAAGTTCCCCAAGTGGGGCAGTGGTCCAATTTTTGACTGGTACAATGGCATCAAGACTAATGACGGTCGAGCGATAGAAAAGATTCAAATCCGTAAAGATACCTCAGGAGTCGTCCCTCATAGGTTTATCATCGTTCGCATGCGTGACGGGTCTACACACCGACTCGACCGACGCCCCAACGTTGCTGCCGACCAATTGGGTAATATCGATCTACTCAAAAACACGGCTGTTACCACGAAGGATGAGCTTATTCCCTCGGTGGACGATACGTTCCTAGCCGAAGTGAAGAGCACCACGGCATGCGAGGTTGAGCTTACTTTGGACAGAAATGCCAGAAAAGTCGATTTCAAGGTTGTACTATCGGCGTGCTTTGGGATCTTGACAGATTCATCGGCGAACAAGTACACTCTCTTCGCACACAACTGCTTCTTCTTCTCGTGGACTATCTTAATGGTAGTTTCGAGACATTATCTTCCCTACCGAGTTCCTGAGTCGGCGCCTCTGCTGGAGCGAGCCGGAGATGTGCTTCCTGGCCTAGCCACTTACATTGTTGACGAGGCGACCGACCATTTCTTGGAAATGGTCATAGACGTAGTAACTATCTTTCGGAACCGGGCGGGGGACACCATTCACGAAGGCATGAACTTCATTGGTCGAGCTGCATGGACGCTTCCTACCGAGGTTCTTCAGTTTTCCTGGCGAAAAATATTTCACGCACGTCTACATTGTGGGCTTAGATCCGAGTTGAAGAAACACGTACTGGCCCAGCTGAAAGATAGAATTGTTCCCCTTTGCCAAGCTGGGCTCGCCAACGACGAGATGGCAGATCGACTCGACTCCCAGTTGTGGCTCGATCGTCTAAGACCACTCATTGAGCCGATACTCAAGAAGGAGATAATGCTTGTAATGTGGGATAGTACCCTTGAGGCTATCTCTGCTGGGTACGGGAAAATCGACGAGCCCGTGCTAGCAAACAATTTGATGGACCCAAGTCTCAAGTTCACTCTTATGGGGCGGAATGCAACGCAATTTTATGCGGTGTGGGGTGCTGCACTGCACGGAGCATTGCCAGCAGCACGCGAAGCTGCACATAGCAGTTCAGGGAGGGGTGCTGTTTCTGATGAGGAGGTATTCGATTTGGCCTGGAACGCCGGGCGAGATGCGGGGCTCATCTCCGCCCAACGTGTTGTGGAGAATACACGACACTTGATGAGGCACCAGGATGCGAGGGCTAGAATGTGGGAGGCGGTTTGGAACATCTGGGAAAGCTGTTGGAAGGAAGCGCATCCGAAAGCCCGGAAGAGCTCCGTTGACACCATCAACAGGATTGTTGCAAGATTGATTGAGAC